CCTTCCCAGGTCTAGAATCTCACAGTAACAGTTGTGTTAGTCAGTGGAGGCCATTTGCTTTGATGCACTTCGATTCCCGATTGACAAACAGATTCCCCTTGAAAACATTGGAGCAGCTTTTATAGGCCCGATCCTGCAAATGCTCATAGCCAAGCAGTGTTTACAGCCATCAGCACCCAGTAGGCTTCACTGTGTTTGCAGGGATGGGCTGTGAGTGAGAGAGGAGTCTGGTATGCTAACTTGGCACCCCCTTGGCAAAAATCCAAATGTTCCCAGGAAGTTTAAGGCCCCCTTTCTCGTTTCAGGTGTGTATGCTTTGGATTTATGTTTGGCAAGTACGATAATGAAATGTCTAAACTTCTTTTTTTAAAACATACTAGAAAAGAAAAAAAGCCGATTTTACTGAAACATGCAGAATTACTTCCACGGCAATCAGTAGGCTTGGCAGCAGGGCCGGCTCCAGCGTTTTTGCCGCCCCAAGCCGCGAAAAAAGAAAGGCGAAAAAAAAAAAAAAAGCCGTGATTGGCAGTTCGGCGGCAGCTCTACTGCCACCACTTCGTAATTCGGCGGCAGGTCCTTCCCGCCGAGAGGGACTGAGGGACCTGCCGCCGGACGTGCTGCCCCAAGCACCTGCTTGCTGCGCTGGTGCCTGGAGCCGGCCCTGCTTGGCAGAATTTGATTTAAATGTTGTCAGATTTCGACAGAGATCAATGTTCGCTTTTTAAGCAATTTTTTTCTTCAATTTTTATCTATTTTTTCAGTGCCATGAAATTATGCGGTGTAGAGGGATCAACATCACATGTCAAAATATACAAAGTAAATCTTCTTAAATCAAATTCTCTTTAAGTTCTCAAGCAGTGTTTTTCTTACTTGGCCTCTCTGTAAATGTCGATGATGGTGGATGGAAATCTTTTTTTGTTGGTTTGCGTGTGTACAGCGAAATCAATGTTTACCAACATTTACCGATGCAAACCTAATCCTTCCAAGCCTAGCAATAAGGGTAAGGATTTGTGGATGGCTGTCAGGGATCTGAAATTAAGCCAGGAGGTATATATAAAAAAGCCTTATGTCATCATGATGAATGATGATTCAGGTATCAAGGGTAGGCTTGTGGTTAAAGCACTGGATGGAATTCTCCTGGCTCTGCCATAGATTTCCAGTGTAATCTTGAGCAAGTCACTTAGCTCTTTTCTGCTCCAGTTATCCCCTCTGTACAGGCATAGCAATGTTTTAAGCACCACGGCTCTTTGCCAGAGAATGTCAAGGTATGTCCATTGAGATATCACAGGATCGGGCCTGCCTGGCAACTGGTGCTGAGCGCTCCTTCAGGAGTGTGGAGGACGAGAAAGAGAGGCGCTTGGTAGAGGTTGAAAGAGAGGGGTATAAACAGACAGGGTGTGTGTCTGCATATTACACACAGGGAGATACGTAGGCATGATTTCAGTGCACTTTGCTTTGTCACGTCTGGAAATAAAATGGAGATGATGCTTTGGTGTAACAGAGTGCCATACGGTGACTCGCATGGTGATCAGCTGTTGGAACCCAGCAGCGAGAAGCTGACAGTGCGGTTCCTTAACTCCAAGGGAGAAAAGGGAGGTGAGAGTGGCTGTCTGGGAAAAAGGTCTCGGGCTTGGAAGAGACAGGTTCTGCAGGCAGATCAGCCGACTTTGGGCTGGAATTCATTATAAACTAAACTGCAGGCGGAGGGTTTGTTTGACTGTGTAGAGTATCCGTGACTGAGCTAGAAGTGGGAGCTGAGAGGCATACAGCATGGTCCAAACCCAAAGAAGAGCGATTCTGTGACTGGCGTGACAGAAGAGAGACTGAGACAGGTACTCTCTACTCCGGTGTCCGAATTACGGGGGAGTGCAAGGAAAAGATTTCTGCAAAACCAGGGCCGGCTCCAGGGTTTTTGCCGCCCCATGCGATGAGAAAAAAAAAAAAAAAAGCCGCGATCACGATCGGCTCCACTGCGCCGCTTTCTTCTTTGGCGGCAATTCGGTGGCAGGTCCTTCCCTCTGAGAGGGACCGAAGGACCCGCCGCCGAATTGCCGCCGAAGAGCCTGACGTGCCGCCCCTTCCCCTTGGCCGCTCCAAGCACCTGCTTGCTGGGCTGGTGCCTGGAGCCGGCCCTGTGCAAAACTCTCAGGAATCGTACGAGATTTCTCTTCGAAAAGTGCTGAGGGAAACTGTGTCTGACGCTGGGAGAAAGAGACGGCATTGCTATCAACCTGGAGTGCTGGGCTCAATGCAGGAATCCCTCGGTGACGTTCTCTGGTCCTTGCATCAAGTAGAAAATCAGACTGCGAGTGGTCATAATGGACCTTTCTGGCCTTAAAATCTATGGGGCAGATCCTCAGCCAGTATAAACTGGCGTAGCTCCATTGACAATTTCCACCAGCTAAGGATATGCGGCAATGAATCTATGTAGCAAGCTGCAGACCAGAATGGACGCTGGTGTTAAATGGACGTGGGATCAAACCCCTGACACAGGCTGTGGTGTTGTCCCGGGGTGGATTGTGCCCCTTCTGACACAAGATCCAAGGCAATCTGGGCCTATATTCTGCTTCTTTGCAAACTTTGGCCGTGGCAGGGCGAGTCCTTGCGTGGTGCACACCAGGGTGTGCCATGTTGGTGGAGCAGAAGCGATGCATGGGGCACCAGACAGGTTAAGCACTGGGGGAGCTGTCCTGTGGGCTGAGCTAGAATAAGTATCACACCCTTGGTATGTCTGTTCCTTATTTGTGGGGCCACAGGGTTACGTACAAAGAAGGTGTAAAAGTGCCCAGGAAGAGGGAAATTCTCCCTCTGAGTATAGTCATAATTATTTATTTGTATTACTGTATTGCCTAGGAGTGCTTATCGTGGGCCAGGGCTCCGTTGTGCTAGGCGCTGTACAAACACAGAACAAGATTCAGAGCTGTAATCTGGTCATATTTATGTAATGTAGGAAAGTGAAGACACTGGAAGAGTCAAGGTCCACCTTTGCCCAAACCTGCAGAAAGGTCTTTGGGACCATCCTTTACTTGTACAGCACCTAGGACAGGGAGGAACTGATCCTTGGTTCAGTTACGTAGGTGCTTCAGTGATACAGGTAATAGGTATGTCCAACTACTGCTAACAGATGCTCAATGGGTCAGTGCAAGATGATCCCTTCCCCCTCCCCCCCCCAAGATCCCTGACACCATGAAAATTATCCCTGAGATCAATACAAAAGGGGCACATGATGCAATTTTAAAACACATTTAACACTGATACAAAGAAATGCTTTTACATAATACATAAATAACGACATTTCTATGCATAATAAGAACATTCCCAGCTCTGTTGCTATAGAATAGCAATTTATAACGGATACAAACCCTCACGCTTCAAGGCGTAAGCCACCACTGAGTGCATGGGGTTAGGAAGAAACGACCGTCAGGGAAGCGTTGATCCATAATTGTGCACTAGGAGTTTTTGCACTTTTCTCTGAAGCAGCTGGCACTGGACCCTCTCTGAGACAGGATACCAGACTGCATGAGACAGCTGGTCAGCTCTGTAGTTCTACTAGAGTCTGTAATAATGGAACCTGACACACAGCTTCCCAGGACTCCCCACCCACACTACCTCGCATAGCCTGAATCCTGCTCACTACCCCTCCTATTGACGATTTGCCCGCTGCCTCCCCCTCGTTAGACCATGGGTGCGTGTGCATTGCTGATGTTCAAAAGTGAAAGCAAACTGCGGTGAAAGTGGGGGAGAGGCGTTCTGGATGTTGATCACCCCCATTTCTCTGGTTAAGGAGCCCCCTCGGAGTGCTTTGTGAGAAGTGCTTTCAACCCGGCCTCCTGGCAACTTGGAGTTTGCACCCACGGCTCTCACCTGGAAGATAAACAATTGAGCTGCCAGTCGTGTTGTCAGGACACGGGACAGTTGTTACCGAGGGAGCCTGTGTTTACCAAAACAGTGTCTGCAAGTGACCAAACTCAGCAGCAGCCCCTGGATCAACACTGGCGTTATTTGTTTAAAATACGAATATTTTCGTTTTAATCCACACATACAAATGCCCACGGGAGAGCCAGCAGTGAGCCTTTCTGTATAACGCTGCCAGCAAAGAGCCTTATCCCAAAGCAGCTAGAATTACAGTAAAGTTTCTCCCAGGACACTAAATTCAGTGCCGGAGTTAAAGTAACCTGTATTTCCCCCCATCGTATCTCCTTCAATGCCCTGGCTTTCATGCTGCTTGTACAACATTCTGCATCCTTCACGTGTCCATGTCATCTAAGACACAGGAAAAGAGCTCTCTCGGGGTAATCTGAACGAGCAGTAATATTGTTCTCTATTGGTGGTTTGTATGACAGCAGCTCCTAGAAACCCGAATGAGGGCCCCATCGTGTTAGGTGCTGTACAGACAATCACAGCTTTGTTACCAGTCCTTGCATCTGAAAAAAATAAAGGGGAAAAAAGAAAAAAAAATCTATCCCCTAGGACCCCAAATCTCCCTCTTTATGTAGATTTGCAGGTAACTCCTCCCATGCAGCAGTATGTCCACTGAGCATTGATTTAGGAACACCACAGCTTCCTTTAGAGGCTTGCTATCCTGTGGTCAGTATCCGCTTTCGCCCCGGATGTATTTGAGACTTTCCTAAGGGGTTAAGGCACTTCTGGGTTCACTGCAGTAGAGATGTAGAAGAGCTGGCATGTGGCTCCTCAAGCCTTGGATCCAAAGATTTCAGAACAATTTACAAACATTAATTAACCCTCATAAGCCCCCTGTGAAATAGGTGGATGATGTTAACTCCCTTTGGCAGCCGGGGGAAACTGAGGCACGGATCAGTTAAATGACTTGTTCAAGGTCACACAATGAGTCAGTGGAATGGCTGGGAATAGAACCCAAGAATCCTGACTGCCCAGTCTCCTGCTCTAACCGCTGGCCTCATTCCCCGCTCCCTGTGTGATGAACTTTGTTGGCTCGTTTGCACCATCTTAAGCCTAAATCCTGTGATTATCTGTTGTAGATTTCCCTCTGCCACCACCACCACCACCACTTCCTGGAGATGATCTCGGGAACCTCCCAGCGCCTCCTGGTGCCTTTCCCCCACCACCCTCTACAGATGAGGCTGGTTTCAGTGTGCAGGTAAGGCGGTCTGGGTGTTTCCTGCTCAGACGGGTCATAGTGGGGATGGACTATGAGTTGCATGTTCATGGTGATCAAACAAGAGGTAGGGGAGTGCTGTGGTTTGAGAATGGAGAGAAGTAAATAGTGGTGTCCTCCAGGGGCCTGTACTGGGACCAGTCCTATTCTACACATTCATAAATGATCTGGAAAAAGGGGTAAACAGTGAGGTGGCAAAATTTGCAGATGATACAAAACTACTCAAGATAGTTTAGTCCCAAGCAGACTGCGAAGAGCTACAAAAGGATCTCTCAAAACTGGGTGACTGGGCAACAAAATGGCAGATGAAATTCAGTGTTGATAAATGCAAAGTAATGCACATTGGAAAAGATAATCCCAACTATATATATAAAATGATGGGGTCTAAATTAGCTGTTACTACTCAAGAAAGAGATCTTGGAGTCATTGTGGATAGTTCTCTGAAAACATCCACTCAGTGTGCAGCAGCAGTCAAAAAAGCAAACAGAAAAAAGATATACTGGCACCTAGAAAAGGTTCAGAAAAGGGCAACTAAAATGATTAGGGGTTTGGAACGGGTCCCATATGAGGAGAGATTAAAGAGGCTAGGACTCTTCAGCTTGGAAAAGAGGAGACTAAGGGGGGATATGATAGAGGTATATAAAATCATGAGTGATGTGGAGAAAGTGGATAAGGAAAAGTTATTTACTTATTCCCATAATACAAGAACTAGGGGTCACCAAATGAAATTAATAGGCAGCAGGTTTAAAACAAATACAAGGAAGTTCTTCTTCACACAGCGCACAGTCAACCTGTGGAACTCCTTACCTGAGGAGGTTGTGAAGGCTAGGACTATAACAGCGTTTAAAAGAGAACTGGATAAATTCTGGTGGTTAAGTCCATTAATGGCTATTAGCCAGAATGGGTAAGGAATGGTGTCCCTAGCCTCTGTTTGTCAGAGGGTGGAGATGGATGGCAGGAGAGAGATCACTTGATCATTGCCTGTTGGTCCACTCCCTCTGGGGCACCTGGCATTGGCCACTGTCGGTAGACAGGATACTGGGCTAGATGGACCTTTGGTCTGACCCGGTACGGCCGTTCTTATGTTCTTATTTAATGTTGGGAATCATTAAGAAAGGGTTACGGTAGATAATAAGACAGAAAATATCATATTGCCTCTATATAAATCCATGGTACACCCACATCTTGAATACTGCGTGCAAATGTGGTCACCCCATCTCAACAAAGATACGTTGGAATTGGAAAAGGTTCAGAAAAGGGCAACAAAAATTATTAGGGGTTTGGAACGGCTGCTGTACGAGGAGAGACTAATAAGACTGGGACTTTTCAGCTTGGAAAAGAGACAACTAAGGGGGGGATATGATAGAAGTCTATAAAATCATTTGTGGTGTGGAGAAAGTAAATAAGGAAGTGTTATTTACTCCTTGTGATAACATATGAATTAGGGGTGACCAAATGAAATTAATAGGCAGTAGGTTTAAAACAAACAAAACGAAGTATTTCGTCACACAACGCACAGTCCACCTGTGGAACTCTTTGCCAGAAGATGTTGTGAAGGCCAAGACTATAACAGGGTTCAAAAAGGATCTAGACAAGTTCATGGAGGATAGGTCCCTTAAAGGCTATTAAGCAGGATGGACAGGGATGGTGTCCCTAGCCTCTGTTTGCCAGAAGCTGGGAATGGGCGACAGGGGATGGATCACTTGGTGATTCCCTGTTCTGTTCATTCCCTCTGGGCCACCTGGCATTGGCCACTGTTGGAAGACAGGATACTGGGTTAAATGGACCTTTGGTCTGACCCAGTATGGCCGCTCTTATGTTCTTATGAGATCCTTTAAAACCAAGTCAGCTGAAGCTGCTTGCTTCCCGAGTGGGAGAATATTTGACCCACAACATGCTAGGCTATTAAAGGGACACAGGGCTTGATCCAACTCTTGCCGAAGTCACTAGGCCCCTTCCCCTTGACTTGAACGGGAACTGGATCTGGTTCAGGGAGTCTGCAGTGAAACATGTTACACCTTTCCTTGTGGATTTCCTTTGCCACCTGGACAAGGTCCTGATGGATCCTGGGATGGACTGCTACATAAAACCCTGAGCTGAGACTCAAGAGACTTGACTTAAAGTCCTAGCCCTGCCACAGACTTGCCACATGACCTTGGACACATCTCTTGATCTACCCTGTGGCCCAGTTCCCTGTCTGTAAAATGGGGATAGTAGCAGAGAGGTCTTGTGAGGATAAATACGTTAATTACTGTGAGACATTCAGGTGCTAAAGTTTTGCCTTTCTAAGCGCAGAGATAGAATATGGTCTTGCAGTAGGGTGTACAGACCCTGTCCAGCGTCTGGCTGGCAGCAGGTTAACATTCTTGAGCGAGGACCATGGCTTCAGTGCCTTTAAATGCCAGGATTATCAGGGAAACTGGCAGCATGGGTGGTCCTAGCTTTGGGGAATTAGGTGATTCCCTGGCAAATGTTGTTCTGTCTCTTACCCCTCTGAGAAGAGGGGATGTTAGAGTGATGGTCAAGGTAAAGCAAGTGACAGAGCCTCTAGCCTGGCCTGCCTCAAACTGTACAAGGTCATTGATGACAAACTCTGATTTTTAGGCTAAAGAATTCTTCTTTGCCGGGAATCTAGCTAGGTTGTAGTACATCCATCTGTGGACAGGTCTAATGATGCTCCCCAAGAGGCCTGAGAAGATGGCATAGCTGAGTTCAATGGAACGATTTCTGTCAGATTCACTCTTATCTTCAGACCCACGCGCCTTGTTCTCCTGATCTGGGCCAGACATCTGTCATTTATAACCTATGGAGTATCAATTATAATAGTAACACCTAGCTCTTTTATGATGCTTTCCATCCCTTGATCTCAAAGCAGCTTCACAAAGGAGGTCAGTATCATTATTCCCATTTTACAGATGGGGAAACTGAGGCAAAGTTGGTGCTCAACTTGGACAGTGAAACCTAAGCACTTAGTTTCACGCTCTAATTTTCTTGCAGTAACACCCCAGTGCTGCCATGTTTGGATTCACAGCACTGTAGCGGGAGGGGAGGTTTAAGTCCCCTTTACGTATATATTAAATGTTTTTAAACAAGGTAGGGGAAGGGGAAAAGGACAGGAAAATGAAGTCCGCTTGAAAGATCCTCTTAATTGAAATTCAGTGGGAAGACCTGTTCCCAGGAAGGTGGTGAGGGCATGGCTGATGGTATGTTTGGCAAATAAGGAGAAAAACCAAGAGGCTATTGCCACATTGGCTTGTGCTCAATTAAAAACATAAAAACAAACAACAACCCGAAAAGTAAGAAAAAACCCAGATGGGAAGAAAAATACACTCGACGTTTGCCAAAGAGAAATCGACAGATTGGGGGAGAGAGAGAGAGAGATTTTGTTTTCGGGTTTCTAAGAAGGAATTATAAACAGCATAGGGGGAAAAAATGAGAATCTGTCAACAATTCTCTCTAGCATTGCCTCAGATATATTGCTGTGATGCAGATAGACCACAGCTAATAGCAGTCACGTGGCGTTTACCTTCATTGTTGGGTAGTATGATCTAGCGGTTAGAGCATTGCCCAGGGACCTGGGGAACCTAAATGCTGTTCCCACCTTTGCCACTCACACTCTGTGGGTGAAATTCACACTTGGGCTGTGGAGCAGCACGAGGTCTGCACCACTGATGTCTTGTATATAAACCCCGTTATGGTGAGTTCACTGCTGCACAGGGCTCTGTGCTGGCATCTTGTTCTTCTCCTTGGCCTTCCTCTGCTTGATGCTTGTACCACTCAAGAAGACAACTTGAATGGTTTGAAATGCCTAGAGCTCTTTCAACGACAGATTCAAATCCTGAAAGAATCAACTCAGCCCTCTGTTCTGGGGTATGATTCGGTTTAGTGTCCAAGTGTTTGGATGAGTGGTGGGTGGGTTTGGATGAGCCCTGTCTGTTCTGCTTGGGCAGTAGAGATCCCATGACACTTCTTAAAAGACGAAGGGTTAGCCTGGCATCCTCGGCCAGCATTTCAAAGACTCAGCTGAAAACTTTGGCAAGTGAGACTGGCATGTCCCTATTCTGCCTTAGTTACCCTAAAAAGGGCGCATAGATTTATTAAAGAGCCTCCATGCACCTTTGTAAAGAAGGTAAGAGGTTGAATTGCGTTCGGTTTTGCATGGGAGAGTTTTGATAGACCTTCCATTAGCTCCTCCATGCCCCAAACCGGTTAGAACGAAGTGGGGAGCTCAGAAATCAGGACGAGCCACTGGAAATGCTGGTTGCATTGTTTGTCAGAGACACACACAGCAGGGGCTTTTGGAGAACTTAGTCTGAGCAGACAAGTTACCTGAACTGCAGACCTGCAAAGGGTTTCCCTCCCTTGCTCCTTTGTCCTGACTGGGTTATAAGCTCTTTGGGGCAGGGACTGTCTCTTACTACACGTGTGTACAGCTCCTAGCACAGTACGGACCTGATCTTCACTGAGGCCTCTAGGCAGAACTGTGATACAAGTAATAATAATATCTATGTCTTACGTAGTACTTTTCACTAGCAGATCTCAGAGCACTTTATAAAGGAGGAGAGTGTCATTATCCCTATTTTACAGATGAGGAAACTGAGGCCTAAAGAGTGATGAAGTGACTTGTTCAAGGTCATCGGGGTCCAGGGGCAGAGCCATGTCACCTGAGTCCCAGTCCAGGGCTCTATCACTTAAGCACGCTGTCTCCCTATAATGAATATGAATAAGTTATGAATAGTAATAACATCTAGAGCCAGTGAGGGTATGTCTACACTGCAGTTAAAAACCCATGACTGGCCCATGCCAGCTGACTTGAGCTAAAGGGCTGTTGAATTGCAGCATAGACATTCGCACGCGGGATGGAGTATAGGACCCTGCAAGGTGGGAAGGTCCCGGAGCTTGGGCTGCAGCTGAGCCCAAATGTCTACCCCACGATTAAAAAGTCCCTTACCCCAAGCCCTGCAAGCCCAAGTCAGCTGGCC